AGTTACAATTTCAGCTAAATAGGTTCGAAGTTTATTATTATCATACTTTCAACCATAAAATCAATTATTTTAATAAACAACTAAGCATAATTTTGTTAGAAAATTTTAGATTTTAAATAAGTTTATTATAACCCGAAAGAAAATTTAATCAAGGATACATCATAAAGCTTTTAATTATAATTTATCTTTACTATTATTCACGGTCCTTAATAACTAAATATACTTTAGGATAAAGGTCTCACTATAACAAATGTATTAATTTTAAAAGATTTAATAAAGCTCCGTTTCTACCTTCAAGTGGACTAACAAGGATATGAAATACGCTTCCACATCATACAGTTACAGGACCCAACGTCAAATCTTGGTGACTACTCCATTTATGGCAGCACGTTCTAAGCCTTTAAAAAAAGCAAATCTCTCCGGGTTGGGAGGTGATTCGGCAATAGGTAATCCAAAGACCGTGGATAAACAAATTACAATAAGAACTGTGAGAAAGTGATTGCAATGGGAATTCATTTTTATATTTTTAGTTTATTGAAATTTTTTTGAGAAAGTAGCTAATGAAGTTTCTTTATTTATAAGAATTTTTTCTATCATGATTTATTTCACGTATTGGATTTTATTATGCGGTAATTATCATACTGTATTATATGTACATGTACAGTTACGTATATGTAGGAATTCAATTCTCTTCCATCTAGAAATTATATTTTGCATGCACGAATACTTACCTTGGAATCTTTCAGTTCCGTTTTCTAATATCGATAATCAGATTAACACTTATCAAATGAACCGGCCTGAAATTTTAAAAATGCGTAAGGAGTTCTAATATCAATATACAGGTATCTTGCAAATTATGTAACATAGTACCATCTGAATCTACATTTTTCACATGCGAATCTAGTAACAATATAGAATGCATTTTACAGAATCTCACTACGTATGTAATAAATTCACATGGTAAATTGCGTAATACATGTGGCTTGTCAAAATCAAAGCCTTATCGTTATGTACAGCCTCGGAAAGTAACGCCTGATTTGGATGTGCAACATCAAACGTGGCTTTTTGTTATTGTTGATTGCAAATTTTTTTTATTTCTTTCTTCGACTTTTAAATATACACTGGACGCAATTCGTTGGCTGTAAATATAACACACACACAGCCTCCAGTTGACCGACTTTGACGAGGGTAAAAATAGTAATTTTTATTGGGATTTTTGAGTACCGTGCGAGTTTAATGATACTTGACGATGACGAAACATTTCGTCACGTCAATTTGACGAAACCTTTCGTCACGATCATTTTGAAAATATCTGTGACGAATGGCGAAACCTGACGAAACCTATGACGAAACCTTCTGACCAATAAATACTAGTTGATGCCGGACATTTTTGTAAATGAACGAATGCGCAAAATGCATACGTACATGTATTTAAATATCAATAATCCGTGTACATGAATTGATTTTCACAAAACCTTTCGCCACTTTGGAAATGTAAGTGGCGGATGACAAATCGTCTGACGAATGACAATTTTGGCAAACTAAACCATAAAAACAATAGGTCAAGTCAAGCTTTATCAATTTATTGGTTTATTTTTTACCAGATATATATTTAAAATTATACACTTTTTGTAATGCTAGCCAAAATTCAGCATAATTTTGATGTAACATTCTTTTAAAATTCGGAATACATATACGTATTTGTACATGTGATTTTAGCTATTATTTTGATTGGTCAGAAGGTTTCATCACAGGTTTCATCAATCATCATGTGATTAAGCTATTATTTTGATTGGTCAGAAAGGTTTCGTCACTAGTTTCGTCACTCGTCACAGGTTTCGTCAATCGTCAAGGGTTTCGTCTGACGAATGACGTGACGAAGAGTTTCGTCATCATGAAAATAGTTTCGTTAGGCTAGGGTACTATGATTTTACATGTTTCGTATTAACATGTGCAAATAAATATATACAAGGGAAACTAGAAGTTCCTTAAAATTCATTTAATTACTATCGCTATCGCTATTTTTTTGGGGTTGGCTAAAGCCTGGTGAACACGTGTAATCCATCCAATAGGGGAGCGTAAATTTTTGTCAATCACCAATAAGAATGCACAAATTTTTGATCAACCCGGCAAATCAAATCCGACACAAGATATAAAAAATGCGAGAAATGTGAATATTACAAGAAAACCGATGCTTAAACCTCTCTTGGAACACTAATTAATAATGTTAGGAAGGCGATTTTATATATAAGCTTGTCATCTAATCCTAACGCTAACCCTTACCCTTACTCTAACCGTATCGGTTGCATGCGGAAAATTTAGAGGAACTGAGTCTCATGTCCACCAGGCTTTAGCCAACTCCTATTTTTTTTTGGAATAAATCAACCTATAATTTACAAAAATGTAATATTTCAGCGATGCGTTTTTTTGACTGTTTGTTCGTTCAAAAGTAAATCAATATAACATTTCCAAATTTTATAACAAAACACAACTCGAATAATATATAAAAGTTATACCTATTAATATAGTTTTTCATTTTATTTTAATAAACATATCGCTACATCAATATGGGTCGTATCACTATCGAACAGAGATCACGAATTTCTGCCCTTCTTCAAGAAGGATTCTCTTCCTGTTATATCTCATCAAAAGAAAATATTGCGCAATCTTCTGTTATCCAACTTAGAAAAAATAGAAACTACTGGTTCTGTAAAAGATTTACCAAAATCTGGCAGCCCACGATTTTTTACAGGCCGTGATGAACGTAATATTATACGATCTAATGCTGTATCAATTCAAAAAAATTACAAACTAATAATAAAATCAATGTAATCGATAGTACTATAAAAAGAACTTTACATAGAAATGGTTTTTCTGCTAGAATTAAACGAAAAAAACCCATATTTAAAAAAACATCGAAAATTGCGTTTAAAATTTGCTAAGAAATACAAGGATTGGACGGTGGATGAATATACTTTAGACTTTATTAAACTAAGTTGACAACAATATCTTTTTATTAACTGTGTCTCGAGTTAAAGCACAACAACCAAAAGCAGTTTTTATTTTTTATCAGAATTTATTTATAGTGTATTCTTTTAATTGCTAGAAATTTTTTGAGTTTATATTAAAGCAAAATTCGATATGTATTATCGCTACGTATCGGTATTTCTTTATAGAACTTAACGTATTACGCGTAAGAATTTCGCATGGGAATGCCAGACACATTACGCACGCCTACAACATACATTTCAAAGAAGAGCCTTTTATTATTTACACACAAATAGAATTCATAAAAGGCTTCTTTTATCGTTATGCGTTCTGTTTTATTTTTCTTGCATAATAATATCGATTTTCCACACAATGACTCATCTTTTCAAATTTGATCTCATATATCTGTCTGAATTATTGGTCCACAATGTGTTCCTGTGTTATTTTACAAACGCAGACGAAAGAATAACAACACTTAGAAACCATTTTTATTTTACTATCATTTCAAAGTTTTAATTAAACCATTGAACTCAAAGATGGATTCTAATACTCATGGTTATAATCTGGTTACTGCAAAGGGTGTACCAAATGTCAAAAAATTACAATTGCTATCGCTATGAATGTAATGAATATCACAAAGTTGAATGGTCTAACGAGAATAAAGTTATCGTCTGTCTAATAAAAGAATGCTGATAAACACTAAAAACTTTATAATGATAAGGCATTATTGCACGGTTACAAGTGAGATCATGAAGAGAATAAATTTATACCGATACGATCTGGAGACGACAAAGAAATTGTGTTGAAATTAAAGCAAATCACATGGGAGTTTATAAACGAGGTAAAAAAGAACCATTTCTAAAGTGTAAAAAGTTGTTTTTTGTTTTCTAATATTTCAACAATATATTCAGACTGCTTTAAAGTGCACTATGAAACATATATTTAACATAAAAATATCTGTGGACTGAGAAGAATACACAGAGAAACTTGTGCATCGTGACTTTCACCTATGAATACACACATATACCGTAAACTGTCGTGAATAAGCACCACATTTGGTTCTAAAAAACGAGACGGTACTTGTTCTGGAAATTTTCTCACAATTTAAAATTCTCGCCATTCAAAGCTGATTTTAGATATATTTTTGTCATTTAAATTTAGTGGTACTTATTTAATATCGATATTAATGCTTTCATTTCGATTTTGGGCTTACCGGTCCAGCAGGTGTAAAAAAAATTCAATCAAGAAATTTACAGAGTACTTCCTTACATT